GCATCTTTCCCCATTAAACTCCTTGGGGCCTATCCCAATTTTTGACTCTAGAAGCTTGTAAGAAAGACTGAAACAGTCTCCTTAGTGATCTCCATGACTGTCTTCCCATCTCTCCACTCCAGCACTCACACTATAGACTCAGATAATTTTAGCAAAGCACTTCAATCATTTTCACTTTCACCACAAGCAGACAAAGGGCAAGTATCATTACACCAATGTAATGGGGGAAATAAATTTGGAGAGACATGTTTAAGATATTGAGCAAAACCTCTCTCTTACTGAAGTTGCAATCTTTAAAGAAAATCAAGCATTTTAAGGTATGTGAAACATTCTTCATCATGGACTTACCGGAGGTAGAGGTTTGGCAGGTTTGCAGTGCAGGCCTCCGACAAACTCAAAGTTAGGCAGGTATGGACGAGGAAATTCAATATCCCAGTATGTCCGAATTAGCCAGATTTCAGCTTTGCCCATAGTCTCACATAGCGTAGTGGGCCTTCCTGAAGAAATTGAATTTCACGTGGAGGACATTAACACATTTAGTTACCGAAGAAAAAAATACCAATAATTTCCTGCAAGCAATTACAGAGAAAAATGAGGTCTTTTTGAATAATTCTATGTTAAAATGGAGAAGGTTAGGCAGAAAGAAGAGTGGGAGCGGATGGACAAGACATGCCACAGAGGGAGGAGTAGAGGATTAAGGGTAGTGGAAGAAAAGAAATATACAACTATCATTTGATTCCAAGAAAAGATCCAAAAATCAAATACCCGCACATAGAATGCTAAGTTTAGCACTAAATTTTCCTCCCTAGTTAAGTGGCAGAAAATAGACGAGCTGCATCACATAAACCTCAAGTCACCTCGCAAGGACTTTCCAGGTTCCATGTAAGATGGTGCATTTGTTTTACAGGTTTTATAGTGAGTAGTCACACAGACCACTGAGAGATTCAACGAAGCACAGTGCATTATTTCTTCTTAGTCCAATCTCATCTTCTAAGCTAGCTATTCATTATTTCTTCCATAAAAATAACAATTCTCTCTAAGTCAGACTAAGTCAGACGCAGCATGCACCCACTGCTACTGTGAGATATGTGCACAGATATCACCAATATTGCACGATTAAATGATATTCTTTTGATATTCCACTGAATAACACCAATATTGTTATGGTTCAATGACGTTCTTTGCACGGGATTTCTGGGTATCAGTTTCATAGTGTTATGAAGAAGCATGTACGCTTGTGAGTAATGAAGGGAACCATTTCCATACATAAACATCATGTCCTCACATGGAGAAAGGAAGACTTGCAGCCGAGGTCATGTCAGCTAGGTGAACAGAGATAGCTACCTATTCGAAACTAAGTATTAAGTTCTTTAAAATATCATGTGTAAAAGTTAATAAATAAAATCTCCAACTTTAAAAGCAAGATGTGTTTTCTTTATTTCACCTTCACATTCTGAGGGCCTAAAATAAATGACCTTGTCCAAATGAATGAGCAAAAACTACACCTAAGAAGCACAAGAGCAAAAGACAACAGTGGAGGTCTTGATACCTGAAAGACATGTCAGCAGAATTTGCTCATAATACTGAGAAACATCATCTGTGTATTTACTCTACAGTGTGTTCTTGCTTATTATTTATTGCAGTTTATGCTCTAGTGTCAATTTCATGTGCAATAAGAAGTCACAGTAGCTCAAACCAGAATAACAACAATGGATATTTCAATGAATTTGGTAAATTCTACAGATAGTTGAGTGTAAAGCTGACTGAATTTCCTATCAGACTGTTTATGTGCTGTGAGAAAAATAGTTGTTAAACAGTGAACCCAGTTATTTCCCACCTTAGATACTTCAGACACTGAGTTCCATTAAATGAGAAACATCATCTGTGTATTTACTCTACAGTGTGTTCTTGCTTATTATTTATTGCAGTTTATGCTCTAGTGTCAATTTCATGTGCAATAAGAAGTCACAGTAGCTCAAACCAGAATAACAACAATGGATATTTCAATGAATTTGGTAAAGGGGAAAATTTCATTAATTGGATACTACTAACCAGTGATGTTTCAACATGTGTAGAAGTTTAGATCATGTAAATTATGTCATAATCATAACACCATGCTCAAAATAGTTCAGGTCTGTTTATCTGGGGAGTACAGCAAGAAGATTTTCTTACACATTCAACTAACATTATAAATCTTACCCATTAAAAATTTTTCTGTATGTCCTGAGAAAGAAATTTCATTGTACTTGAAGGATTTTCTGTTCTATATCTGACAAGAATGATATCTTTTATTGGATTAAACAATATTTTGTGGATTTTTTGTTTGTTTGTTTGGCTTTAAAATAATAATGAAATGTCAAGGACTCCTACAAAAGCATTTCAAAAGTATATACAAAGCATACAACTAGAGTAAGAGTCCTTGTATTCATGTCCTATTTATGTTACTGAACAGTTATTACTCTCACTAATACTTTTACAGGAAAATAAAAGTTTTGAAAACATTTCTCTTTCATTTTCCTTGGCTTTTCTTCAGCTTCCTAGGTGACATTGAAATGTAGCTTAACATAAAATTGGGTTTCTTACCTAATGCTTCACTGTAAAACTGATCCAAAAACTCAAAGTCATACTGCTGGAACCAGAAGTCAAACAAAAACGAAAGCACTAGATTTTTCACCCTTTCCATAAATGTCATTCTGCTTGTGAGTCCTCCCATGGGAACAGGCACATAGGAAGGTGGAGCTGGAAGCTGCCCACAGTATTTCTCTAAGGTGTAGCCCGTGAAGAACCTTAGCGTGTTCACAAAAGGGATCCCAAGCATCTCAGCCACCAGATCCCCACAGGGCTCCACAGGATCTGTAATCATCACATCATACTTGGATTCCTGGAGCTTCTGCATGAGCGATTGGTTGTAGACTGTACTTGTACACAGAAGTCTCAAATCTTCAGTTACTTGAAGAAAGAATTTTTGCAGTAGTCTTCCTGATTGCCAGAATGACAGTGTTGGCATGACATTCACAGCTAGTTCGATAAACTCATTTATCACATTCTCAGAAACATTTTTGTCAGTTGGTATAGGGATCACTTCAAAATGAAATGCAGAAGGCTTCCTGTAGTCAATGAAAAAACTGTGTGAAGGAGTCAGAACTGTCACCTCATGTCCTCTTTTCACAAGTTCCTCAAGAAGAGTCTTTATGTTGAGCCAGTGGCTCATTTCACAGGGCCACACCAGCACCTTCCCACAGGATCCACAGCCAGCACAGCAGAGCTGCAGCAGCAGGACCGCACAAGCCCACTTCCCGGGCCCCATGCTGGCGTCCTCAGCACACTGCTCTGGGGAGGCCCAGTGTGTGTGAGGGTGAAGTGGCAGTTTAGATACCAAAATCAATTAAATATTAACTTCCTGAGACAGGAAAGGGCACATGCGAAAGACACTTTGTCAACATTATTGATTGGAGGCGTTCTTATATGTCTCTTGTTCAAGCAATGGAAACCACTTAGATATAGGTAAAGAATGTATTTAGTATACACATGGTACTGATTTCAATGTTATGAAAGGCAAAAGCTGACATTTAAATTAATATTTTCTGTATATAAAAGGAAAACTGCTTTAAGTAAATACAGTAAAAACTGTGGTGTATCTATTTGGAACCAAATATAAAGTCTGTTTTCCAATTGGTTATATTCTCCTCTAGATGACAGGCACAATACACAGTGAAAGGAAAGATAAAGAAAATTATTTAATATGCTATGGAAGAACACGGGATCATCTATAGGAAGAAAGATTTTAGAAAAGTCTCATTAAAATGCTTTTTTCCTTTGCATTTAAACTCAAGGAACAAGGAGACAAATGGAGACAGAGACAGAGGGAGACAGACAGAAAGAGAGAAAAAAATTAGACTTGAGAACGTAACAATTATCAAAACAACACCAGAATTTCTCAAGAAGAGTCAGTAGGAAAATAAGAAAGCACAGCTCTCAAATTGGCCCTAACTCTCCCAGTATGCAACCTGTTTGTGAGTAGGGTCATTGTTCTCAACACAAACTCAGCTCAGCACCTGTCCTTGTCAAACACAAGATGTCATAAAAGAGACGGGCAGGGCAGGAAATCTTGCTGGTCCTGATCCATCTGGAGACACCCAAAATTGTACTGGATGCCTCAAGGAATGTGCCCAGGGAGAGGCAGGACAGTCTGAGAGCTCCGACCACTGATGCTTACTAACTCCTTCCTGCCTGATGTCCCTGTCCTCTTTCACTCTCTAATGTCCCTTTGTTCCCTACAACTGGCCTTACTAGCCTCTCTCTGCCAGCACCCAGATATTACACTGTAGCCTTGTTGCTCTCACAGGAGCTGTGCAGTGGTCTCTGCCTTGGTTCCTCATTTATATCTACCACCAAAACCCGGGAGATGGAGACACCAAAATTTTCCTGTCAGGGAGGGTCTGCAATCCTCTTCTGAGCCTCCTTCCCTTCACTGAGACCTCTTGGGGGGAACACCCATCTCTCAGGCCTCAGATCTAGAGTTCAAGCTTCTTCTACCATCCCAGTTCTCACTGGGGGTTACGGATGGGGTAACACCCCACTGGGGTCTCTCTGCTCTGCCTTCTGTCTTTCCTCCTTATTTTCCCACATAAAGTCAGAGAAAGCTTCACCCTGCTTTTAAACTCCAGCACTGGCCTCAAAAATCACCACGAGGAAAGCTGCTTCCAATTACTGTCTGACCCATTAGAAAGATATTTGCCTCGCACAGTGGCTCACTTTTTTTGGATGTGGAGGTGTGCACTGGGAGACACAACCAGTCCTGCAGCTTTCTCTGTAATCCAATTTGGAATTGCCCATCCACAATCCCTCAATCTGCCCCTGTGGCTTGTCCCTATGGAATTTCAAACCCTCTGTCTCTCTCCTCACCTGAAATTACATGGCTTATTATTTTCTGTAACACAGTGTGGCCATACTACAAGCTAGACAATGTCTCTGTGGGCTATCCACAGCAAGTTTGATATTTCCACTTTGTGAGTTCTGGACAATTACCATGGTAAGCCAATGAGGTGGTCTCATGTGGCTTATGTCTGAGGCTCTCTTACACTCTGAACTGTTCTTGTTTTCCAGGTGATCCCTCCCAAATTCTCTTCTCTTCCTTTCCATCCACATCCCCTCTGCTTCCCTCCAGTACTGATTCTCCCCTGCTGACCTAAGTTTTTCTTGGCATCTTCCTGCTCACCTAGCTGGTCTTCTCCCTGCAGGCCTTGGATTTCCTCAGTATCCTCCTGCGACCCACATTTGAACAACTTCCAGCACCCCTGCTCCCCCTCTATCCCTGAGGCCATTCCCAAGGCAGCTGACCCACTTCTTCTGGAAGAGCCCGGGCAGAGCCCAAAGCTGTCACATTTATATATCCAGCCATTCTCTCTGAACCAAACTTTAACCTTAAAATTCAGTCTCTGTCCTATACTTAAGACAGTCTGCAGGTCAATACCTTTCCCTCTTTCCTTGTTTCTTGATTTCCACTTCAGGAGGTGATTGAATAGTTTGGGTTCGAGTTATGTAATCCACGTTGGATTTGTCTCAGATTAGTCAGCATCTGGGTTCCTTTCTCACTGACCTCAACAAATATATCCAAGTATATCATTACCTTTTGCAGTCTTAAGTTCTCTCCTGAAATAACCTAAATATCCTCTGTTCTTCTACCCTCTCATCAGAGGAACGGGAATGAGTTTACCCTTTTCATTAAGACACCATGGATGACTGCAGGTGTCTTGAACCTAATTTTCAGAAGGGAGTTTTGACAGGCACTGCGCCTGCTTGAAGTGAGAGCTTCAATCATCTAGATGAACGCAGGAATTCTAGTGCTTGAAGGAGGCATAACCGTATGTTACTTGCTTGGTTGACGGGCTTTTTAAGGCAGAACAGAGGACAGGCAGTTACGACAGGTTTAAGGAAACCTCCCAGACAAAGGATAAGATCAATCTCATTTTTTGTTCCACCTGACTCTAGTACTCAGGTATTAAATTGCCCTGGACCCAGAGAACTTAGAAGGCAAACTGATTTTAGAGATGCATTTTATTTTAAATCTGCTCTCTATGTTCAGAAAAGTTGGAGAAACTGGAGGCAGCCACTGAAATCCCATAACAGGAGTTAATTAATTTGGAGTTCAAAGTTTTTAATAATAGGGACGAGTTTGCACACCAGCAGCACCTCCCTGAGTTCAGCTGTTTGCCTCCACCTTAAGAATCCCATGGGTGGGGCTGGGGATTTAGCTCAGGGGCAAAAGCGCCTGCCTGGCAAGCGCAAGGTCGTGAGTTCGGTTCCCGGTACCAGAGAAAAACAAAAAAACAAAAAAAAACAAACAAACAAACAAAAAAAAGAATCCCATGGGTGTAAGCTGCTCCTAAATCCTAGCCAAGCACCAAGGGTGCAGCCAGGGCTCCCCAAAGCAGGACATACCTCCAGGCCATGCTTCAAACACCGCCAACCTGGTCATGGGACTAAGAAATACCCATGGTCTGAATTCCTTCAAATCCACGCCCCTCCTGCGAGGGCCCTCACTTAAGTCTGCTGCCCCATGCTGAGGTCTGGCACTGGAGTCCTCCCTCAGAATCCCCAGCAGGCTTTCTCCCCGATCCTCATACTGGTGAGGGAATACTGGCGCTTTCCCAAAACTCTGGAGCCATCTGCACCATCTCAGATGCTGAGTTTCAAAAAACCTGAGGTAGGCAGGAAGTTCATACATTCTGTGATAGAGAACAGGACGACCCGCTCCACCCTGCCTTTGTCAAGACCTTAACTTGTGTTGTGTGTATTGATGGCAAACTCCAGGACTTTTAAATCTCCTCTACTTTGGAGCCCGTTAGGTCCATATGTTTTCCTCTACTCCTTTCTAAGTGTTCTCACCTGCCCCACCCCCTCCTCAGAGGAGATGTCCTAGCCAAATATCTGTGACTTCACTATTTCCGGCCTTGCCCTGCTGTCCTCACTGCTCTCTCCTCTCCATCTCTACCCTTGACAAAGAACCCATTGCCTTCCTAAGCCTAAAACCTAGGCTCTTGATACCTCCTCCCCTTCGCTGGCTGTCAGCCAAGCACTTGTCATTACCCCACTAAAGCAAGACTACCCCTTCCTTTCTGTCTCAATTCCCTTTCCCCAGTCAGGCTCTCAGGGGACTAAAGCCTACTCTTTCTCACGTGCTCCAACACAATCTTCTAGTACCCAGTAATTCCCATATAACACTCAGTTTTTCCCTGTTCAAAACAAAGATCGCACATGTGGATTGGTCAAGACCTCCACATTATTAGTGACATAGTCCTTCTCTCTTGTCCAATCAGTACAAACTTTGTCTTCTGTCTTCCCATCCACTACCTAATACTCAGTTCTAGATTTGAGGGACGTTTTCTTACCAGTTCCCTTACATCCTGCCTCACAGCCTCTTGTCACCTATACTGGGACAGACCCTGACACTCCACCATTCCCAAGAGGTGACCTGGGCCTTCCTCCCACAAGGGTTCAGAGACAGCCCTCAATATGTGTGTCAGGACTTTAACTCCAAAGACTGTTGGATCTCACAGCCATTAGAAATGCCTTAGAAGATAAAACCACAAAGGAAGCAGCTAATCTCTCCAACATGCTTCAGACGGCTGATACTTTGCCCCTTCCTGCTTCCTTCCCACATACCCTCCTCTGTGCTTCAGCTGTGGCAGAACTGCCATGCATGAGGTTTCTCCCCGACTCAGGACTGGCAGATTGCCTCACCTACATGCCGTGGGAGTGAAAGGTAAAATGTTGTAGTCTGGATCTACACCCTCACTGGGGGGGTAGATGGTTTCCTACCAGTTCAGGAAAAGCCTCAGCAGCCATTAACCTCTCCTAACTGGTATCATTCCCTGATTTAGCTTCCCCTCCTCCACTGAATCAGATAAGGCCCCAGCTTTTATCAGTCTAATTACCCAAGGGCTGTCTGAGTTGCTGGGGATCCATGGAATTTACATGTTCCCTACTGACCTCAGTCCTTGAGTAAAGTAGAAATAGCCAACAGTTTACACAAAGCCCATCTTACAAAACTCGCACTCCTGCTTCACACTGACTGGGTCCTTCTCCCAATTGATCTCTTAACAGCTTGCCCTATTCCCAGAGAGCCTAGCACATATATGCCCTTTGAACTTTGATGTGGGCACACATTCCTGCCTGGGCCAAACAGCCAGAGACAAGCCCTCCCTGGAGATTATCTGCAGGTTTTACAACAGTTCTGAAAATCATAGGGCATGCTGCTAATCTTCTGCTGCCTTCTCCTGACACTCACACTTGTGAGGATAACATGCTTAAGAAATTCATTTTGATCGAAGGTTTA